CATGCTACCTGACTTCAAACTATACTACAAGGATACAGTAATCAAAACAGCATGGTACTGGTACCAAAAAGAGATATATAGACCAATGGAACAGAACAGGGGCCTCAGAAATGATGCCACACATTTACAAATATCTGATCTTTGACAAACTTGACAAAAACAAGCAATGGGGAAAGGATTCCCTATTTAATAAATGATGTTGGGGAAACTGGCTACCCATATACAGAAAACTGAAACTGGATCCCTTCTTTACACTTTATACCAAAATTAACTCAAGATGGAATAAAAAGTTCAATGTAAGACCTAAAACCATAAAAACTCTAGAAGAAAGCCTAGGCAATACCATTCAGGACATAGGCATAGGCAAAGACTTCATGACTGAAACACCAAAAGCAATGGCAACAAAAGCCAAAATTGACAAATGGGATGTAATTAAACTAAAGAGCTTCTGCACAGCAAAAGAAACTATCATCAGAGTGAACAGAATGGGAGAATATTTTTGCAATCTACCCATCTGACCAAAGGCTAATATCCAGAACTTACAAAGAACTTAAGAAAATCTACAAGAAAAAAACAACCGTATCAAAAAGTAGGTGAAGGATATGAACAGACACTTCTCAAAAGACATGTATGTGCCAACAAACATGAAAAAAACCTCATCATCACCGGTTATTAAAGAAATGCAAAATAAAACCACAGTGAGATACCATCTCACACCAGTTAGAATGGCAATCATTAAAAAGTCAAGAGACAACAGATGCTGGCGAGGATATGGAGAAATATAAACGCTTTTACACTGTTGGTGGGAGTTAGCTCAACCATTATGGAAGACAGTGTGGCGATTCCTCCAGGATCTAGAACCAGAAATACCATTTGACCCAGCAGTTCCATTACTGGGTATATACCCAAGGAAGTATAAGTCATTCTATTATAAAGACACATGCACATGTATGTTTATTGCAGCACTGTTCACAATAGCAAAGACTTGGAACCAACCCAAATGCCCATCAATGACAGACTGCATAAAAAAAATGTGGGACATGCACACCATGGAATACTATGCAGCCATAAAAAAGGATGAGTTAATGTCCTTTGCAGGGACATGGATGAAGCTGGAAACCATCATTCTCAGCAAACTAATACAAGAACAGAAAACCAAAAACACTGCATGTTCTCACTCATAAGTGTAAGTTGAACAATGAAGCCACATGGACAAAGGGAGGGGCACATCACACACTGAGGCCTGTTGCGGGGTGGGGGCCTAGGGGTGAGATAGCATCAGGAGAAATACCTAATGTAGATGACAGGGTGATGGATGCAGCAAACCACCACGGCATGTGTATAACTATGTAACAAACCTGCACGTTCTGCACATGTCCTCCAGAACTTAAAGTATAAAAAATGAAAGAAGAAAAAAGATTACCAAGGATGGTATTATAAAAATATACTATATACCAGGGGTTTTAGCTCTGGTCTATGAATATCATTTGATTCAGTCTTGACGACAGCATAGAATACACAGCTACCTGAGTCACAAAATGTGTTTTGTTCTCTTTCCCACTTTTGGTAGATCAGTAGTATCACACTGAACAAATGGGAAACTTCACCACCTACGTTTCTAACTATCTATAAACAGCAGTCGTGTATTTGTTGGTTTGAAACCTTTTAAAAATTAAATCATTTTGCATAAGTTTCATGACCTTCCTTTCTTTAGAAAAATGGGTGTCGACCATTCCAAGGAAACAGATGAGGCTTTCTTCAAAAAGCTCCTTAAGGATGGAAAATAGTGGTTCCTCCCTGTACCCATGGGTGTAACAGATTGATTGGGACCCTTAGAATCTCTCTTACAGTGCTCCAGGCAGCCACTACAAATCAGGGTGGGCATGGAAATGAAGACCTATTTGTCTTCTGTTAGCAAATAATTTAAAAGTTTATCACTTTCCAGTATCATATTTTCCATTTTTACACCTGCCGAGTCACAAATGGACTAACAAGTATAAGCAACTTATGTGAATTATTGAGCTAGAAAAACAAGAACAGAGATGAAAATATTCAGTTCACCATTAGCACAAGGAAAAATATGTTCTTCTAGCAATAAAACATTCTACAGAAATTTCATTTAACTGAAGCCCAAACTTAAAGAACATGAATGAAGCCTTAAATTATGCAAAAATGAAGGCTTAAATGTTTCTATTCAAAATACTCAATTTAATGACTTAGCAGTTTCACTGCTTAATTCTTACTATCCATGCCCCTATTATCAGCTAGAATACTTAAATTAAGCCACAGTGGTAGTGTCAAGGTAAAAAATCAGACAGCTAGGCAGGCAGCTCTTCTTACTTTGGACAGTAGAATACACTCTACAGTGAGAAAGCCAAGTATGAAAACCAGTCCCCTCAGCTGGGCATGGTGGCTCATGCCTGTAAATCCCAACCCTTTGGGAAGCCAAGGCGGGCGGATCACTTGAGGTCAGGAGTTCAAGACCAGCCTGATCAACATGATAAAGCCCCTTCTCTACTAAAAATACAAAAATTAGCTGGGTGGGGTGGCAGATGCCTATAATCCAGCTACTGAAGAGGTTGAGGCAGGAGAATTGCTTGAACCCAGGAGGCAGAGGTTGCAGTGAGCTGAAACTCTGCCACTGCACTCCACACCCTGGGCGACAAGAGCAAAACTCCATCTCAAAAAAGAAAAAAAAGAAAGAAAACCAGCCCTATTACTGACTAATGATGAGCACCCTGGGTCTATTTCCTTTGTGAACATGGGAACAAGACCTACTTTAAAGAGTTGGGTGAGAATTAAATACGTGGACACCACTTGTTATAATGAATGACACTGACATTTAAGAATTGCTCAATAAAAGATACCTTATTTGATAAGTTAAAGTGTTATTGTAAGAAGCTTCAAAGGAGTAACAACAAACTTGACTGTGATTTGCTAATCATTGTCACATTAATAAACTGCCAGTCAATTATACCTGCTGGCAAATGACACTAGATAAGAACAAGATTAGGTCCTTCATTCTTATGTTTTGCTACCACTTCAAAGCGAATTAAATACAGAAGGATCTAATGCCTAGAATATTAGACTTGGACATAAAACCCCAGGACCGACCACAACTACCAGTAGTGGTAACTCCAGGATACTACAATTTAACATCCATCACCCCAAAAGTTTTGGAGACTGCCCATCTCTACAACAAATGTGTTCAATCTTTCCCAAATGAGATAGTAATCATGCTTTTTAAAGCTCTCTGTGAGCAGAAACAGGAAGAGAAGATGACTTAGAGGAGAAGCAGAAGACTGACCAGTAAGTAGCCAGAGCCCACACTGGTCCCATCAGAGACTAATTGCCTCTGGCTTCAAAGAGGAGATAGAGGACAGATCAGCCTATCCAAGAGAAAATATGGGCTACATTTTTTCTAGAATCCACATGAAAAAAGAAACAGGTGGGGCAGGAGGAGGAGGAACTAAAAAAAAAAAAACTAAAAACAGGTGAAATTAAGATTTTATTTAACCTATATATCCAAAATAGTATGTCAATATATAATCAATATAAGAAACATTTAAACCTGTTTTAATTTGCAAACATAATTAAAATTATACAAAATTGCAGGCCAAGCGCAGTGGTTCACACCTTTAATCCCAACACTTTGGGAAGCCAAGGTGGGTGGATCAAGGTACGTGGATCACTTGAGCCCAGGAGTTCGAGACCAGCATGAGCAACAGAGTGAGACCTTGTCTCTAAGATGGAGGCTGGGGGTGGCGCAGAACACCAATTAGTCAAGCATGGTGGAGCACACGTGTAGTCCCAGCTACTCAGGAGGCCGACACAGGATAATTGTGTCATGGCGCTCTACCCTGGGTGACAAAGTGAGACCCTGTCACCAAAAAAAAAAAAAAGTAGAAAATAAATAATACAAGTTACAAATTTTGTTCCTCAGCTGCAGCAGCCACATGTGAGGTACTCAGTGGCCACCACACTGGACAGCTAAGCCACAGTCATCTTCCCTATAGCGCTCCTCTAAATGGCAGGGCTATAGCAAGAATGGGTCCATATGAATAGCTCCCATCTAAGACCTCTCTATCTGCTGGTTGGAGACTCTGCGCAGTAAAATTTGAGAAGAACTGCTTTAGATAACTGGTTTAAATGCACATGTCCAGGTCAGAACCCCAGAAACTAGTAACTACCAAGGCTACGTAGTTCTGTTCTGAAAAACAGATGGTCAAATATGTGTGTTGGGCAGGAACATGTGGTTCCTTGAGAAGATGCTAAGTTTGATTTCTCTTTAACTTTTATCCCCCAGAACAGGATGATCAATAAAGGAGTACCAACCGGGCTGTTCACAATAAGGGAATGGAGATGAGGGGCAGAGTTGAGAAGTGATTTTAACTCTCAGTGTTCAAGATAGCACTAACTAGATTATGTGCAGTGGTCCATTTTGAAAGTGTTTTTATACTTGTAGATGAAGTAGTTCAGGATCTTGGGCTTCTGAAAGCGAAATTATTTTATATGCAGATCAAAAAATGTTCACAAAGAACCATAAAAACAACACTACGTATTTCAATAATTACTATTTTGCAAGTTGACTGTAACGTCAAAGGTTCGGAAATAGTTCCAAAAAAGTAGGCAATAGGCTAAAATTCTTTAAATTCTTAAAAATCACTACCAAATTTTGAGCACTGAGGCAAGTATTTTGCTAAGTATCTTAATACTTGCTTACACCCCAAATTCCCCTATGAAGTGAGTATCATTAATTTCATTTTACAGATGAAAAAGACAAGGTTTCATCGAGTTAAATAATTTGTTGAAGGCCACACAGCTCAAACTCAGTTTTGGTTCAGTAACGACTGACTCTAAAACCTAAGCTTACTCTTTATTACTCAAGTCTAGTGGCTGTCTCACAAAAGGTATATGGACATACCTACTTCCCAATATAAGCAAAACCTTCTTCCATATGCATAACATATATGTACGTGTTTACGTATGAAATACATTACCATCTGTTTCAGGGAGCTCTCTGTACCCAACATCATTTTTATCTACTGGAACAACCAAGCCTGCACCATGGAAGGTCTTCGTCACAACCTACATTAAAGAAAAAAAAAAAAAATAATCAAAGAAAAAAAAAAAAAAAAAAAAAAAAAAAAAAAACAACCCCAAAATACATAAACCTTCAACATTTCTACCAAAATGTAACATTCAATGACATTTTATTTCAGTAAATTTGGACTCCAGGGTAAAAAATTAGCACTATTTTTTTTCTTGAAAATTAGCTAAAAGTTAAACACTTGAAGTAATCACAGAACAGTGAAATAACTGGCTTTTCCTAACTGTGCCAGTCACTTGGAAGTCTGCATCCTGATTTGTTAAGGAAGAACCCAATACATCCTAGAATGCAAGCCAAAATACCAGTTTCCTCTAAGGTCGAAGTACCCTCTTGGTAGAAAGCACAGAAGAGCCTGGGTCTAAAAGAAAGACAGTAAGAGACAGTTTTTGTCAGCAAGAAGATATGGTAGGACAGAACTCCTTTCATCGATCCTGCCAAATTCAGACCCCTCCTAGTTTTACCTGGAATATTTAGGTTCGTTTGCAAACTTCCCAAAAGTAGGGCAGTTTCTAGGTTTGCAATGTCTTCTTTGGAGGCAAATTACACAACCAGTGAGCTTTTATCAAGTGGTAGTCTTCAAAGACAAAAACAGGCTCAACCACAACCATCACCATAGCCCTTCCAGTTTACGTTCTTCCTTTATTTCATGTTAGTGGCATTATTTTTAGGTCTTTCCTTAACAAAACAGGTGTACAAATCTTCCACTTCTTTGTGCAATTCAGTGAAAAGTTTCCAAGGTAGAGGAAGGACACAACCCCAAAGCCAAACTCCAGTTTTAAAGGCCTCTCACCCAAGGCTCTATATCTTAACGCCTTTCCCTCTATAATCTCCCTATTCTCCCAGTCTCATGCTTCTTTCATTATCCTTTATTAAGGATAATGCCAGAAAGGGCAGGTTATTCAAAGGAAGTTATTAGACAACTGCTTACCACTTGGTAAAAAAATGAAGTCATTGTTTTCTATCTTAATATTTATATCAAGGTAATTTGCAGCTGGATTTCAGAATTAAAAATAAAATCATAAAATTACTAGAAGATAAATTTTAAAAAATGATTTTGTGATGGAGACAAAAAAGTTGAATATAAAAATAAAACTCTAGTGAAATCAAGAACACAAGACAAATTAACTGATAAAATATATCTGCAAAATGTAACAGTAAATAAAAATTAATGTCTTTAAACTATAAGGAAGTCTAACAAAGGAAAAGACTAATATCCAAACTAGAACACATGTAGGAAAAAGACTAATTCTAACCCTGATAGAAAAATGGGAGAG